CCCCCCCCCCCCGCGCATCGTCCTGCTGCGACATAAATTGGAAAATTCCGCAGTGGTTAGAACCTTCCCTGGACACAATCTTCGGCCCACCGGTGGAAGAGGTGGGGGGTACGCAGAACGTATTCAAGACGGAGAAGGGAGCGTCCCGCACCGTTTTCCATGACGGAGATCGGGTGCAAAATGACGTCACCTGACACAGACTACGTCTGCTACCATGCACCCATACCGCGAGTGGATACATAACAGGGCGCCCACTGGGGGGTGGGGGGGGGTCCACTGAATGGGGGGCATGCCCCGTAAACCCCACAGGAGATTTTCGAAGGCACAATGACGAACGGGTTGCCAGAAGAGGCGCCGATGACATAGTTCATCGTAGCAGTGTTTCCTGATTCCAGGAGGGGGGAGGTGTTGGTGAAGGATGACCATGAGGGTACGGACGGCGTTTCGTGGCACCCAGTCACCACGGATGCCATCATGTCGAATGGAAAAGCTTTGCTCGTTGAGGAGGTACCCGACAGCTCGAAACGGCAAGATGTACGTAGTGGTCCACATGTGGGTGACTTCATTTTGGCGCGTTGGTGGCACGCTCATATATTTTCTGGCACTGAGGGTGCCAAACCTCCCAGAACAGGGCAGGTAGTGTCGGAGGGCATCCGGAAGGCGTATGATTACGATGCGTAGCTCGCAAGTTTGTACAGATGTATGAAAGATATGCTGGGAGCGGGGGTAACGAGGAGGACTAGCACCTCAAGCGATTCATGGGTGGGCAGTAATATGACCGGGTTGGGTTTTGAGAAGGATTGGAAAGGGGTGAGCGTGAAGCGCTGAGTCCGAGGGGTTCATGGGTGGGATGTTGCTTGTGAATATTTGCCGCAGGTGGTGTGACGTTGGTCGTTGCAATGGATGGAATGACCTTGCCGTACAATCGGTGTCCAGCGAGAACTCGTGAAGACTAAGTAGACTATGTGTAAAGATTAAACTATTGCCAATAGGTACGGACGGTTTGGTAGACTTGGCCTCAAAATCTCTATAATGTAACAACCTGCCAAAGCGAAAGAAAAGGTGCTCAAAGCCAAGAAGCCTATACGAACACCCACATAGTCGCCAAAGGAATAGACCACCCAATGAACTGTACAACGGACTATAGGAAAAATGAGTCTAGGCCAAAATAAAGGGTTAATTGAACTGATGAGTTCTCAAGTGCGGGCGCCGTCTGTATATCGCCCGAAGCTCTTTTTATTTCGTTTGCGGTGTACCCCAACATTATTTGGTTCTCCGCACGGCGGCAGTTAACTGCAGTAGTACCGCACAGTCTCAATGCAACAACAACAGCGGTACCCAGCATTCAGCTATTCTTGAATCAGGAGCGGCGATTTGACGACCTGTACATGGCAATCGTTTGTACATAGACTATGAAGTGACCGGCCCACAATCTTTCAGCGCCTAGGAAGTAGCCTACACCATTTTTTTGGGGGGATACCACCAATCGAGCTGCGACGCAGTGTGGGCAGGCGGTGCGCAGCCGATCCTGCTTGTTGCAGTAAAAAAGCAGATAGGTTTGGGGGTAAAAATGCAGATCGGTCTGGGGGTCGTATCTTCGCCTCGTTACAGCAGTCTACCGTAGGTGACATGACATGACACAGACCACACCCCGTAGACCGATTTTCAAAGCTCGACTACTCAATTAAGAAGGGGGTGGGAATCTCAATCGATGCGTTTTTGAAAAGACCTCGACGAGCTGGTTCCAACGCCGCCATTTTCGGCACCGCCACGCTTTCTGCTGTGGAATAAGCGAGCTTTGAAAATCGGTTCAGAGGGTGTGGTATCTTGTGTCATGTCACCTACGGTAATATTGCCGTACACATCTCCAGATCTTTTTTCCTTGATACACATGCAGCAGGTACAGCCCGGATTATGCTGCGGCTTCTAGTTGTTGATTGGTTGGTTGGGCTCCATGCATCCCTGCTGGGCCCAACTTCAAGCGCCCTATGGTAGCTTCTTCGGTTTGTTTGGTGCGAGCCAGCAAAAAATCGACCAATCAAAACGAGCTGGTGGGCGCCCTCCGTAGAAGTTGTGCGACGATTCCGAAACTTCGTCGGGTCACCGCAGCAGCAGTGGTACAACTTCGGTCTGGCAGTGTAAATGAAAAACACAACAAACGTGGCCACAACAGGAAAGAGGAGCAAGCTAGCGAGGGAGAGAGAGCTACCAACCAGCTATCCACGCGTCTGCTGTGTCGCTCACTTCACCCGAATCTGCCGCAAGGTGAGAAGAGAAGGAGGTGGGGTGCTTCGGTCATCACGCGCATGGTGCCGGCGTGATAGTGTAAAGACGACGCACGCGACACAGCAGCACCAGTAAACTACTGCTGTGCAGCAGCAGAACCGATGTACAGAGCGCGGTCCTTGCCTGATGTATGGCTTGCTCTTCTGTGCTGCCCTGTGCTGTTGCTTGCGCCCTTCAAAGAGGGGTAGAGACGGCAGAAATAGCCGGGTTGGTTGCTCTGCCTTTACTCTTACTGCTGCTGCTGCTGTAATGAATACATGCGGGAACCACGGACCATCTTTGTACGATGCGGCCCTCTTGCTCATGGGTGTGTGGCAGGAGAACTACAGCAACTGGTGCCGTGTCGATGGCATGAGCCCTTGTCTAGGTAGGCATGTCGTAGTGCATCTGTGCTTCGTCACGGGGTATGCATCGTCTGCATATATTTCATTTTTTTTTGCAGCAGCATGCCGTTCTAGACTACACCTACGGCAGCCGTGAGGGACGAGGTGATCGATAATTCGGGTGGCCCAGTTCTATGTGCTTGGAGTTTAGAGCGGGTGGCCCATGACGGGGCGTGGATGGGTAGGTAACGTCGTGCAGACGTGTTGGAAAACGTGTTGTAACCGTGTTGTATTCATCGGGGGCGTGCTTGAGCTCGTCATTCCATCACGGCATCAAGTCACGCATCGTTCAAACACCCAAAACGAATCTCCATGAATGTCCACCAACCTACCACACTCCCAAGGAAAACATAAAGAAACTTCTTTGTTCCGTAGTTCGTCACTGCAATACCCGCATGTGTATTCGTAATATACCACCCACATGCTATCCTACGAGTATATCGAATAGCCCCCCTGCTCGTATGCATCGTCATGCTCCGGGAAAAAATCATATAATAGTCATCTTTCTCATACCAGTTTATCCCAAAACACAATCAAAACCAAGAAAACGAAAATACTTCAGACACGACNGTAACGTCGTGCAGACGTGTTGGAAAACGTGTTGTAACCGTGTTGTATTCATCGGGGGCGTGCTTGAGCTCGTCATTCCATCACGGCATCAAGTCACGCATAATTCAAACACCCAAAACGAATCTCCATGAATGTCCACCAACCTACCACACTCCCAAGGAAAACATAAAGAAACTTCTTTGTTCCGTAGTTCGTCACTGCAATACCCGCATGTGTATTCGTAATATACCACCCACATGCTATCCTACGAGTATATCGAATAGCCCCCCTGCTCGTATGCATCGTCATGCTCCGGGAAAAAATCATATAATAGTCATCTTTCTCATACCAGTTTATCCCAAAACACAATCAAAACCAAGAAAACGAAAATACTTCAGACACGACACAAGTATCCAACTAGCATACCAACACACGCCAATCACTCTCGCTCTCTTCCGAAAATTCTCAACTCAAACTCTTCTCATCCAGAAAAATATGACGAACGCCGTTCAAAGACGCATTTCCTTTCACCGCCAATTCGTCACAATATCTCGGTGCGTCTCTAAATCCGCTTAGTAGCTAGATATCCAACCATTACCAAGATGTTTGCAATCTTAGGACAAATTATTCCATTCATCCACCAAACCTTCGTCCGCAGGTAAAACGCGAACAAGTACTATCTCCCTGTAATACTCAAAATATATCATTAATGTTCGGTGAAGAAATGTCAGCAACGCCATTTCGTTTGAAAGAATATAACGTGCCCCCCTGCTCCGAGGATCCGCCCCCCTGCTTTGTGAAGGGGTCGGAGTCAAGCCGAAAAACAATACGAGAGGTGCCGAAAATCAAAACAGTACTTCTGATCCTCTCATCCACACTTCAATCAGATCTAAAAAANCTCGCGCGATGGTCAGGGGGATGTCGTCCGCGGGCGTGGTCGATGGTTCTAGGCGCGCTCCCTGCTGCTGGCCTACCTCATACTCTTCGCTCTCTCGCATGACTTTTATCTAACCCTCCTGCTTTCACCTCGCAGCTGACGTCCGGACTCCTGTTGACTTCTGCTTCAACCCGCGCGCTCTTGTCGACGCTGCGGGAGCTATCTTGTTCTTCGATCCTGCCGTCCTCCACTGCTTGGCGGGCTTCATCTTCGGGCCTCCGCTGCTTGGCGGGCTTCATCTTCGCGCCTGGTTGTCATCTTGACCCTGCTCTCGATCGCCGCAAAGCGATACTCCTAAACCAAGCTCGACCAGTCAGTAAGATAAAGTTACACCATTAGACTAGTCAGCTACGCACGGGTTCGAATCCCGGCTACTCACTTTCCCAAGTACCATGATGTTCTTTTCAGTCAGCGCCTGGCGAGGGTCCGTCCCCGGAGATTCAAGCCATTAAACCCCAAAAATGTGATCCAGCCGGGTGCAAATGAGCTCTGAGCATATCTTTTGTAAGATAAAGTTCATCACGTTGCCTAATAGGAAAAAAATATACACGCACCGAAATATTACCCGTTCGAGATATATCCACGTTCGAACGGGATGTGGTGGAGTCATTTCAGTGAGTGGAGGAAAACCGGCTGGGTACTGGACATATACAATGATGATTATTGTCAGTGTTACCAGCTGGTGCAAGTACAAAAGAAACATGTGCAAAGGATACCTACATTTACAGTTCATCCCTTGCAGTTCTCTATTGGGTCAACGCCATAAATATCGGGGAGAGTCCCTCCGTTGTGTCGTGTGTTGGAGAATGTACCCTTCACAGGGAACACGGCGCAGTGTCTTTGTGACAACTTGCTAGCCTTTTAGATAAGTGTGAATGAGATTTGACCCCTTCCTTTCAAATCAATCACATTTATTTGTGCTGTGTGGAACGCTCTTATCCGACCAAAGGTAGGTGCGGGGTCGTTGATGCCTTCCGGTGATTTCTTTCTCGTGATAAGGGTTTTCCCAAGGCAACTCACAAAGATCCCCAAGCACACACGATCATCGGCTCGTACGCGCACCCAACAGAAGGGCACCTGCCTCGGCATAAATCCCAGGCCTTGCATGCCGTAACGTCTTTTTTGAAGAATACTTTGTGGATGCATAGATCATCTGACTACGCAAAATAGCCATGGTCAACCACGATCGCATGTCTACCTCCAAATACCATACAAAAATTGCGGCGCGTTCTGTTCGTCGCGAAAAGTCTGTTCAACGAAACGCGGTTTCCTCAAGATCGGAGCAAGACTCAAGGGCACTGCGCTTGCTCGGAAGGGTGCCACATGCAGCCGCGGCGCTTATCTCTGCTCCACTCGAAAACCCAATAGCATATTTCCTTGAGCGTTGATCAAAGTAACAACTCACATGGTTTTGTCGACCAGCAAGATAGCAGCCATCTCTTACAAATCCGAAGGTTTGCCACGAAAATGTCCTCTCAGACGATATATTTAGCCGAGTTTCGAGTCGCCGCAGAAACTGAATGTATCAACACCAGGCTACATCTTCCGGGGGGGGTGTACTCATAGTCGTGCATGCCGTAGTCGTTAGACTATTGACCTCGCANCAAGCGCGAAGCGCCGTGAGATATTCGGCGAGTCGCATGAAGGGTGCGCTGCATCCTGCTAAGGGTTTTCGGCACCTTGCATACGGATGACAGCTGTGTATGACTTAACTTATTTTCTGGTTCTTTCACTTCCAGAGGCAGTTGTAAGCACTGCTGTGTAACTGCTTCGAGGGTGCTTGACCATTTTGATACAATGTGGTGCGATCATCCCCCTTGCGCGGAGTGAGGGTTCTCGACCCCGCACAACATGATCTACTCGACCACCATTATGGTTACCGCCAAAAAAAAACAGATGTAAAATGAACAACGGTATCCTGGTTGCCGAGTTAACGAACTGAATTGGCCTGTGTTACAACGTCATTGCCAAGCGACGAAAACCCAACCCCGATGGCAAACACCAGGACCTCGGTGGGGGCGGGTTGGGGGTTCAAAATTAGGGTGGGGTGGGGTCCAAGTGTGCTTCGAAAGAAACCCCAATAAACACCCGCCAAAGGTATCTACCGAAGCCAATGCCCCCCGGACTGACTTTCGTGCTCATGCTATCCTCCGTATCCCTGTGTTGATGTCTGTCACAGGACCTTGTATGAGAATGGGTACATATAAAGTCGCCCAAACATAACAAAAAGGAAAAAACTGAAAACAAAAGGACAAAGCTCGTGTTTTGTTACCGATTTTGAATTCTGTCAAATTAGCACAGACATGATCGTCGAGGAACTGGTGATAAGATTCGCGTACCATGGAGTCGTTTTTGTAAGTTATGTTGCGACTGGTGGCCGCAGAATACAGGGGAGGCTCCTCGTCGCGGCGATACAGCCCAATCGCATCCCGTCGCATGTCGCATAAAAACTACAGCACATGCTGAAACCAGCTGTGCAGGCGCCACGAAAGCAGGCGATTGCAAGACCAGCGACGAGCCCGCGCCAACAACGTATGGAAGTTGCCGGAACTCTGTCTTCGTTGATTGGTTTCATCGACATCTTTCCGCATTCTCTTCTGCCGATCTGCCTCTTGTTCCCTCCCGAATACGACAGGACGCTGGACACTTTCGTCCAGTGGCACCAGATCTCGCCGGCGACGGACGCGACAAGTCGAGTTTGCCGACCCAGTGAAGGACGGCCGGGCACGCGCAAGGGAACGATTTCTAGGTAGCCCACCTCCGGCGAGAGGTGTAAGCGAATACTCCACGCAGCAGCATGTCGGCCCTGTCCAACCCGCTCGGCGACAGGACATGGGTCCTCCCCCTCGCGGACGGCGTCGACGGGACCCTCACCATCGGTTGGACCTTCGTTTTGCTGGCATACTTCGTGCATCCGGCCGTGGAGTGGGCGTTCCACAGGCTGCGCGCCTACCGCGCGTGGCGGTGCATCCAGAAGCGCCAGGCTGTAGAGGTCACCAGCTACAACCTGGTGGCCGAGGTCTTCGGGGGGCGCGGCAGCTGGGATTCCGCTCGCAACATCGCGGTGATCCTAGCGGTGTTCTCCCTAACGTCCTGGGGCCTGGAGCTGTCGATGGACTTGGCATTCCTGGAGGGCGAGGCCGATCTTCTAAATCGGCCACCGCCGGTGTTCCTGAGGCCTGAAACGAACGACACCAACACTGACCCCTGGCAGGCGAGTATCGTTTCGTTTTGTCATGGTACCTACTGTAGGGATTTGTACGTTTTCAATGCAGTAGAGGTCTCTGTGAGGTGTGCCCAGAAAATTCAATGGCACTATCGGGACACGGACAATACAGGGATATGTAGGTTTTAGTACAGGAGTGGGCACTCATGCCAAGATATGTTGACCGGCATTATAAGGGGCACAGGCACTTTTCGACCGGCCTTCAGCAGAGACCTCTCCGGTACTCGAAGCCGGGCCTACTGATACGGTCTGATCTTCTGATGTACCATGGTACTCGACTTCATGCGCGAGCGTTTCATCTTGCTTATACCTCGAATAATTTTATCATACCCTGTACTTGCACTCGTACTTCAGGTCCTAACCCTGAGTGATATAGATCCTGACTACAACGGTAATTGGCGAGACTTGGAGCGTTTGAACGTCGAAGAAACGCACGCCAACTCCAGGTACTACATCGAGAAGGATACCAGGGATTACCTCGGGGAATCGGCAAAGGATACTTTCATCAACGGCAAGATTCTGGTCGCCAGCTGGGACGACAAACCGAGCCTGTTCTACGACACCAACGGCGCAAACGTCGATAGCCTCGAGTGCTCCGGGGAGACCCTGAAGGACGCGGAGGTCTACCTCGGGACCGATTTGTGGGGCAACGCGCTCGACTGCGAGCGGGGACCTAGGCCCAACGGCTTGACGACCAGCCCGCCAGCAGTCGTCCTCACCAACGGCGATTCCGGACGGGTGAGCGTCATCGTCGAGGAGAGCAGCAGCTACCCCACCTTCCTCTATTCCGTCTGGACGGCCGAAGGCTCGGACTCGGTGGAGCTCGCCTACCTGTTCCACGTCCATTCCACCATGCGGCTTGTCGAGGCCGTCATCACCGGGATCGTGCACGGAGAGACTGAGGGCGGCGCGTGCTTGGGCCTGCTCAGGGTGTTCAGCGAGACCCGCATGCCGTACGAAGAGGGCCTCGATCGGGCCTCTCCCTTTGGCGAGATCCCCACCGGGGACACCGTCCTGGTGCAGGACCTGGAGACCATCGAAGCCGGCATGGAGATCAACATGAACGCGCTCATCTGCCTCTTATTGGTGATGGCGTCCACCGCGGTGTGCGTCGTCTGGCTCATCTGTCTCCGCAACTCCATCGGCATGGACGTCTACGACAGGTATGTGTGTGTGTTTGTGTGTGTGACCCTAAGAAGGGCATAGGACGTGCAACAGGACACACTCCCCACTGACCCGTGGGGACAGTAGGCAAAAAGATGCTCTCCGGCCGATTGTAGTACTGGCGAGGCCTGCGGGTCAATCCACAATGCAGGGAGCGGACAGAGTAGAGGTACGTCTTTTACGGGAAATCACGACGAAGCTGCGCGTCGTGTCGCGGGTAATGACGTGCACCGGGTTGAATTTTCGACTGGGGAAGGGGAAGGACAGGTGATGTGGGTATGGGTGGGCATTGGCAAGTTACCGCTTTTTCTGCAGGTGCGACCGTGATGACAACAATTCTCATCCTCACCTAACATCTTCCCTCTCCGCCCAAACTCGCGCGCACGATGGCAGGGACGAGCTCCTCCGCGCTGTATCCCTCCAGGGGCACGCGTCGAAAGACCCCGCAGCCGAGCACCCCGCGATCCGCATCTTCGTGCGGAGGGAAGACAGCGGCAACATCACCGTCTTCATCAACGACAGTCACGACAAAGAGCAGAAGGCCTGGGAGCGTTTCCTCCGGCGCCACACTTCCAAGGTGGTGGAGGGCGACGACCGCTTGCCTGCTGGGGGGTATGCCGAGGCCGCCCTGTCCGACGACGGATTCGGTGGCGCGACAGTGCCCGTGGAAAACACCGTGTCCCTGGGGGGCTTTCAGGCCGACTACAATACGCACGACGTGTCGTCGGCTGGAACTCCGGCCCGCTCGGGCATTAGATCGCTGGCGGTAACCCCTGTGCGCGACACCATCCGCCGGAATCCGAGGCCAAATCCTTTCAAGGGCATGGACTCGCCGGTCAGCGGTAGCGACGGTGGGCTGTAGCAGTAGTGGCATCGTGGAGGATCGGGGATGACAGCGGGAATAAAAACGGCTAGGGACCCAACGTTCGGCACGTCGGGTGCCTCGAAGTGGCCGTCGACGACGCTTCCGTGAGAATTCGTCACGCTTCCGCCCCTCATCGGAAACTCTACCTGGACGTCGCAAGAAAAGACGACAAACACAAACAACTCCACCGGCGTCATGCGTTGGGGAAATGAGGCGGGTATCCGTGGCCGGCTCATCCTCGACATAATGAGACGACTGCTGATCACGCATTGCCATCGCCAAGCCTTCAGGAGTTGATCGCAACACGGGCGGGCAAACCTGTAGTATCGTAAATGTTGCGCAGCTGCAGCTTTGAGAGCTCTTGTGCCCGACGTCGATGCCTTTGGTGGGTACTGTAGAGGGGGGTGCCTCTTGGTTCGTTTCCCCGTGAAACGGTGTTACTGTAGGGTAAAGGTTCTTTGCACGTGCGATCGAAGAGTATCACCTCTTGTGCAAAACATCTTCTGGTTTCTTTTTGCATGGAGGAAGTACATGGCGGTACTTTTTGAGTTTCGGCATCATTTTCTCTTTTTATTGCGGCTAGACGTGGACTTCGTCTAATCGACGGCCGACCCTGGTGCGTTGAGCCGAGGAGAGTCATTACTTCCTGTGATGACATTGGTGGCGTGGTTTAGACGAAAGGGCACCGCCGGGAGCAGGCGACTTGGGGAATCAAGAACGGTGCAATGGGTGCGCATCCACAGCAGTATTTGGTAGCGCTCGCAGTCGAAGGTCGTTTTCATCGCTTTGAAAGTTCGTGTGCATTTTCAGGAGTGGAGACGTCTGTCGGAGTATTTGAGAGAGGAGGACGAATCTGACGTCGAAGATTTTCTGGGGAGATCGGCACGTGTATTGACCGATATCCCACAATAAAATTGAGATTGATCAGCACTTTCGACAGGGATCGAAAATTGGTTGGAAAGTTTCATCTTCCGATTACCGATTACACCACCACTAGCGGCCCTTCCTTTCTGAATTTATTTTGTTGACGATGAGTCTCGAGACTGGAGCTGGGGCCATCAAAATATTTTATTGCCATGGCCGATTAGGCTGAGTCTTCCCTTTCATTGGCGAGTTTCCACTATTGGGAGGTTATTAATATTGTGTACTTCGTGCTTATTGTGTATACCTACCGTATTTGCCCCTGGTGTGCTACCACCACAGTAGTACACACTTCAAACTTCAACGTTCTGGATTGCAAATTGGGAGCGGGTTCTATCTAGGAAACGTTGGCAATGATGAAGCAAATTGCTGCGGCACCGCTGCAGCTGCCGTCTCGCTTTTTCAAGAAGATTTGCTTTGGAGGGCGTCAGTTACTGCTTCTGCTGTGGTTCATGAGTGTATCGACTAGAGTGTCAACGGTCGGCCTGGGTAGTTCGAGGATGTAGCATTTTCCCACTCTTGTTTTTAAGATGGACCGATCTTTTTATAGTCTTCCGGACGAACTGCTAGACTACACACAATCTTGTTATTTTTATAGAAATGCTTGTATTGTCATACTACAAGGATGGATCGGATGTACATGGATGGATGGATTGTTCAATGTTGCTGCATGCCGAGAGCTTGGAGGAGATGGCACCTGCAAAATATGTATTGTTACGACGTAGGGATAGATACAGCTGAGCTTCGAGGGTGCTGCCGTAGCATGAGTGAGTTGTCATACGATACATATCTAGATCTACGGGTACACCCCAAAACCATTGACTACACTGCCGGTTGCTGGCTCCGTGTTGTACCTATTGTTGTTGTTGTTGTTGTTGTTGTCGTTGTTGCTTTCCTTCACATTAAACTCGTGTCAGTTGCTAATCCCAAAATCTAGCAAAGACTCGGTCCGTGGTCACAAAAATGCTAGAGCCATCAGAAAATCTGAAGTACACACACACTATTAGCAAGAAAAGCGTACGCAAGCCCGACGAGGAGGTACACCTGCAATCCCTGCAGCACGTTTGCGTGCTCACATCAGAACTAGACTATACAGCAGTAGTCAAAATACATGAAACAGACGAAAACCTTATTTTCGAAACCGAAGCGAATGGCTGACTTGGCTGGCGGGCACTGGTGGGTGTGGCTATCCCGAGATCAGATTTTGCAATATTACGGAAGAATATAGTTAACAAGACCAAAATGATCTAATCAACGTACTCGTCCGAAAATAGACCTCTCGTGTGAATGAGAATAGACATTACAGCAGTGCTCGAGAAGCTACATATTTATGCAGTTGCAGAGGCTACCACGTGAACCATTTTGTACAGTAGTACAAAAGACCCCACGCCACAGTTCATGGGTACCAGCTCCTTTTTTTGCCCGCCGTCCTGTCATGGGATTCCAGCATTTTGGTCGATGTTGAATCGCGGCGTTCGGCGGTCATTCCGTACCTCCGATTTTGCTGCGTAGACTACTGGGACCTGAGTCCGAACCAACACACAACATGGTGCAATTCATTTCGGCGACCCGCAACAAGTGACGTAACAACTTCATCCATTCGCAAGAAAATTCCTTGCGCATCTCGCACGTTTCAGCGCTCTTGAGGAGGAGCACACTGTATGTGGGGCCTGAAGACTGTTTGCCGTGTACTCAAGTTGGCGCAATCATTTATTGTACCGCGTTGCAGCTCAACCTCCCCATCCCCCGCCGTGCCAGCCCAAAAACCGCTGAATTGGATGAAGTGAGAGGCTCCCGGCACGGGAAACAGGTGAGGAGGAAGGTGGAATACTCGAGGGTTGTGCGTGGCCTGTGCCCATGACACTTTCCAGCTTCTTCGCAAACATTCCGTTGTACACAGGTGGCCAGTGGGTACGGTTATTGGGGGGTTAGTGACCTGTAACCCGTAGGAGTTGTGCAACCTCCAAGGTCAGGCAGGGTTCCGAAACGCCGGCCCAAACCCATTTAAGGGACATTGGTATCTGTGCTTGGTTGCAAGCGAGGTCATCCAAGCCCGACAATGTCCATGCCTTGCCGCGAAAACTATGTACCAGCCGCTGGTTCGATCCACCCCGCGTTACGGTTGCTTCACCGATCATTTTGATGTAGAATACATTTGTTTGCCGATGTTTTGCGTAAATACGATACAACCAAGGTAGGAACACAATGTAGCATGGGAGGGGAAGGCTCGCACATACATCCTCAGCAGGGCAGCAACTATGCATATCTTTTGTACCAAGACCGATGAGCGAGTCCCGCAAGGAGTATAAAAAACATCGTAGGCGGTTGACAAGGAGCGGTGGTGAACAGAGAGAGATGAGAGAGATAGCCAGTATTCGGACGGTGCTCCGCTCTGTTTTGGCGTTTTATCGCTCTGCCACAACTGCTATTGCCTGGCCGCTGCAACTACGTACCGCTATGTATTTCGACGATGTAACAACGCTTAGCACATGACATGTCCTTCGGTCGCAAGGTTTGTTTGTTTTTCTCCCATCGTTGGACTCTGCCGTCTGCCCCTCTGGCCCCTATCCTCCACTTCTACTAGCTAGACGACCCAACCGGGGTCAGATAGCAGGCTGCGAGGCTACCCACTTAGACCACCGGAGCAAGGTGACACGTGTGAGTCTGCGTGGTCTATCCCTTCGGTTCAATGTCAAGGGAGATGATTCTACGTCAACAATGTTACCCATCCCGGTCTCTCTATCCAGTATCTCCTTCTTCTGTCTCAATCTCTCCGTACTAATCCAGCACTTGACTCGGTCAATTTCCGTGGTCACAGGCTAACGTACCTAGAAAAGGTATACCAAAATAAAATGGACCCCAAGGGTTAGCAGAGCGATAAAATGCAAGAAAACGAAAGAATCAGAAACAAAGAAGTAAAAAATAAATAAATAAATAAATAGTGGAACGTGCGCACCACCAGCCTGGGGGGTAGCCTTCCGGAAGGACCCCAAGGGTCAACAGTACGTGCCAGTAAAAAAACAAAACAAAAACGAAATAAACCAAAGACAGACGAGGACATAAACAAACTCGCACAGAGACAGGGATATCCGTAGAGACAGTCTGAACGCGACAGCAAACGGGGGAGAGGGCAACAGAACAACTAGTCGCTGAAATTCAACCGCACAATGCAACTGCAAAATAACATGGAACACGTTCCATCTATGTATGCAAATGTAACTATACCTGGTACAAACAAATCACGGCAGTAGCTTTCGAAAAATGAAATAATTGCGCAGGCAGCTACCCGATGAGAAAGCTGCGAATAGGCAGCTAGAGTAATTGAGGTTTAGGTATCTCAAACCACAGGAGGGTGTTGATCCCTCGGTCACTCGCAAGCAAGTGGTCTCTCCGGAGCAGTGGTGGTGACCGCGATGGACACACGGGACACGGATAGTTCTCTAGGAAGAGACGACGGTGTGAGATCTGGAGACCAGATGAAGAGTGACCGACGAGGGGCTGCACGGCGCAGCCCTCCAGCGCTGACGAAGAACCCACCTGACGCAGCGTGGGCACACGCCAGAGGCACACGCCAGAGGCACACGCCAGAGGCACACGCCATCCGCCATCCGGGGTTGGTGTGTCAACGTGGCGCGGGAGGGCTCGCATGTCGGCGGGGTGTTGCGTGACAGACATGTTGAAGTGGTTCAGTGACCGAGGTGTCTCGGGCAGTAGCGCTTACGACTTTGTCGGAAAAGAATATTCTGCGGAAGTTTCTTGGTTCGGTTCTGGTTCTATGCCGGCAAAGGAGGGTCCGCTTCCCTCATATAGACAGCATAGAAAAGCATAGACATACGGCGAGCAGCAGTGCACGCAGGCGACGCGCTTCGGATTGGCAGCTATGAGCGGGGTGGGAGGGGAATAAGCAGCCCTCGTCTTGGGACGCGCGCAGGCAGTGACATACATATGCGTGCGCACCAGGAATATTCCCCAGAGCAGTGCGGAGGAACAGTTGGACGAGGTCCTCGAGTATGTGCGTCCTACACAGCAGACGGGTGACCCACATAATGGATACTTGACTCCCGACAAGTAGAAGATGCCACCCCTTTTTGGAGCTTGAGTTCGTCGGACACTTGTAGTCTATGACGTTAAAGTTTCGAGTCAATGTAGCCTTCGCAGTCCCGGAACCAGTCCTGGAAAACCAGTCGTGGATGCGAGATTGTCGGATTCCCCCATTTCAAGAAACACTCAGCATACCACTGTGGGGCATTAGTCTAAACTTTTCCTGACGATAGGTGTTTTTTATTGGTCGGATAGGGGCCATCACCGTGCGTGCGTGGGGCACACAGCCATGAAGGACGAAGTGATTTTCTAAATGTATTTCGCATCTCGCATGGGAACGGGAGAGATCGCGGCCGGCAATGTGTAACAGACCCAAGCAACGCACAAGTTTCGTTCCTGACAACCGATCGATGCGTCACGCGTCGTCTCTCTCTCCGCTTCTCTCCTCCATGAGTCCCACGTCACTCCGCCCGATCAACGACTCCTTATTATCCTGTCGACTACCTGTCGCATTCCTGGGTGCAGCCGCGTCGCACGGACCAGAGGCTGGCACGGCGGTGCTAACAAGGCTCAGGACGAGGTTCTTCTTGCGCCTTGCTCTATGATATCCTCTGGCTCGCCGTCCATAGGCCCCTTTATGCCATGTGAGCTACCGAAAAATTGTGAATGAACGCATGCACGCAGGCGCATTGGAGTGATCGCAAGAGGGTGCGAAAAAAAGCAATTGAACGACGTTGTTTGTTTTAGGTTTTCTGCACAGCGTGTGTCGGAGTTACACCACGCAAGGGCTTGCTATCTGTCTCGTTGTATCAATGGTTCTCTCGGAAGAGCCACAAGGGCTCGTCCTCGACCTCCGTGTCGAGCATGAAGGGCACAACCCAGAGAAACCTCGCAACCCAAGTGAGTGTGATTGTACGGTTCGCTTACATCTCCTTCTTTGTTCCATGGGATACACCCATGAGACGCGAGGGACGGCTCGTGCAACGTTCAGCGCGGGCGGCTCATGAATACTATGACACCTGGGGCTGCAGTGTTTCCTCACCCTTAGGGTTAGGGTTACGCGCCCAAGGGTGTCCCACGGGTGTCCCATGGGCAGTCAATGCGACTCTTGCATTCTTTCATGGTTTTCCCATCGTTCGTCCCTGATGTACCCACGGGTCACTTGACGCGGACGCTTTCCGTGATCACATGCTAACTCCCAAACACCGAACCTGTGGAAACCCGGTGAACAACGCAGGTCTTGCGGGCCTGGGGTGTATCTCCAGGTGATATGGTATCTGCACCAGCAGCTGTACGTATCTGAAACAACACAATTGGCACGGATGGATCCCTTTGATTTCTCCATGTAGTCCTTGTCCGGCGACGGAAGTAGCGAAGTAATGCATCGCGGGGCAGCTCCAGAGGCAGGGGAGGGAAAACCCAACTGTTCGCCTGCCGGGGGGCGTTTTCGAAAGTTAAGTATTGGAGGACTACACCGGCATGGTGGTGTGGGGAGGAAATTGTATTTTGAGGAACATGGTGATACGTGCACTTGAGGCACATCTTGTTGAAGGACCTGATTTCGACATTCTTTATCTTTCATGCTTTATATAAATCATCAATAGCCGAGGCTAACAGTCTCTCTAAGTCATTTTGGAAGACACTAAGGAAAAAGTTTTTTATTAAACCTAATTGAAATATCTTTAGAAATATCTAATATAACGGGCTAACCATAACCTAAAGAAAAAATATGTTTTTCTTCTTTGAATCACGAAAGAAAACCACGGACGACTTAGCGGGTCGATTGCCAAAGGTCGCGTTTTCCAGATTCAAGCTGTCTATATATCAGATTTGACACCTGTAGGACAAAGAGTAGTGGGAAACAACCGTGGAGGACCGAACGTCGCCGCGAGATGACTTGTTTGGGCAACCTACAATAATATTTGACATACATACGGTACACGCTTCCTTCCATGGAAGTCGATTTGACTCTCATGGAAGTCGCTCACAGCTTCCACGGAAGACCACTTAAGCTCGTCGTGCTTCCATGGAAGCTCAATAATGTGCTTCCGTGGAAGCCACGTAACTTCCATGGAAGCCGTATGGAACTTGCGTGGCGGATTTGTGCGGCAGCTTCCATGCGGTTTCCATGGATGTATATGAATTTCCATGGAAGTCGATCGGTTTCCGTAGAAGTCGTAGGGGTGGCCCAGCCTTCAACTTCCACGGACGTGCGAAGAGCTTCCTCCATGGAATAAAGTCTTTCATGGAAGTCCGTCCATGGATCCCCTCCACAAAACTGGAAGGCACTTCCATGGAAGCACATCTACCTCCACGAAAGTAACTTCTATGGACACGTTGTAACGACTGCACAACTAATTTCCAAGAAGTTAAGCGTCTTCGAAGGAAGCAATTTCCACGGAAGCGTAAATCTCGATTCCTAGGCAGCGTCTAGGGAAAATCGGAAAATTCCATGCATGCCAGTCCAAGCATTTCCATGAAAGTATTTTAAATTGACGCCGCAGGCCAACGACCTAAACACCAACTCTCGTCCTGCCAAACAGAGCACCGGCGACCAACCAAGCGCGAACCACGCCAGGCACACTTCCACCTAAACCAACTGGCACAGCACCTCGAATCGACCCCATACCAAGCCCTAACCGAAACAACCCAGCGGACTGCTATGTTCGCACACTTGCAAGCTCGACGCTCGTCAACTGGGAAATCACTTCTGCGCTCGCTGCTGGTCTTCGCTGCCGGAGGATCGAGACAATATGTTTTTGTTCCCATGGAAGTCGCACATATTGACTTCCATGGAAGCTAGGGTCAGGTGGTATACTTCCATGGAAGCAGCGCGATGATGCTTCCATGGAAGTAAAAAATTATTCTTCCATGGAGGCTGTCCGACTATGGCCTACTTCCATCGACTTCCGTGGAAGTGGGTGCAATCGAATTCCGTGGAAACGCACCAAGCAACTTCCATGAAAGATATCGCACTTCCACAAACTTCGATGGAAGTTGAAGCTTCCATGGAAGTTTCTCGGGAACCCCCCGCTATGAAAACTTCCACGGCAGTCGCCCCACACTTCCATGGAAGTCATTTGCGAGCTCCCATGGAAGTTTGATTCAACCAAGTTCCATGGAAGTCAATATTCCATGGAAAGGCTAGTTCCATGGAAGTTACACACACTTGTCAAACAATGTAGGAGATCGCTCGTATTTGTTGGCGCCATAAATAGTGCATCTCGATGATATCCACCGTTCACCGTTCATTCACTTCCAGACAGCGAGCAAGGGCACGAATTGTACTCTCCTCATTCACTTCTTCACGCCGTTTCACTCCTAGCCACCTTTCAGTCTGTTGTAGGTTCGCACGGACATTGTTCACCGGGGGGGTTTCTTTGGACCCCTGAGGTACCTTCAGTCTTCCCCCTTGCTCAGGCACTGAAAGGGTTGTTTGGTTGTTACCTGACCGACTTCAAAACGCTTCACTCATGTCGTTCCGCGCTTTTCCTGCACATGTTTCCCGTACAAAGCAGGCAGAGTGACGGGTCCGCAAACAGCGTCCACTATTCTCCGCCCCGCGATACTCTCGAGACCCCGGGGAGCTGGGTCCGTTCTTCCTAGCGCGTTGCTGGTACCGTGCACGTTCCACCAGAAGCGGAAAAGTGCGGAGGGTGGAGGACCTGGGAAGTATCTTCCGCATTGGTGTACGATTCGCGGTGAACCCCCCGACGAGAGCGAGCGAAAAACTGGCGGTTCGTCTTCTTTCCTCTCCCTGACACGGTAGCATGGGCTTCCCATCCCTGGGCTCAAGAAAATGGGAGCTGCCGACAGGGACAATGAACACCACTCTCGTCATTGGCCTCGCCTACATCTTCCTTGCCTACGTCGTGCACCCGACCACGAAATACGCATACCTCAGGGTACGCGCCTACCGCGCGTGGCGACGCATCGAGGAGGGAGAGAGGGTCGACGTTACCGACTATCCCACGTGGATGGAACTGCTTGGGGGTTGTGCTAGGAGGGACACCGCTCGCGTCGTGGCTCTGCTGCTCCTGCTGTTCGCGCTGGCTTTGTGGTATTTGGAGCTGTCGATCGATTGGTTTCCCGTGTCGGTCCCAGCATACAGTCAAACCCTGCCGCCTCCGGTTTTCCAGTGGTCTGCAGGCAATTCTACCCCGACCCCTTGGCACGTGAGTGTTTTCAGCATGTGATGTCGTGTCCTTGGTTATTTCACGTTGCGGCTTGGTCGGCGTGCATGCCGATGGAAAAATACATATAGTATAGAGTACGCCGGAGAAGTATGGGAAGGAAATAAGAAGGTAGTGAAAGAAGTCGAGGCGGCGCAGATGAAAGCAGCGAAAATCATCCTAGGATGCTCCAAGCGCACAAGTAATGCAGCCGTCAGGGCAGAATTGGGGATCCAATCCCTACGGTCGGGAAGAGAAGCGAGGGAACTGACACGTCAGTATCGCATGTACGGGATAGGAGAGGAGAGGTTGCCGAGAATTGTATGGGAGGCGAAGTGGGCAAACAAAAAGAGGGGTAGACAACCCACGGAATGGGTCAAGGTTGTAGAGGACGTATGGAAGGGGCTCGACATCGACGAAGATGAAACGCTGGAAACGGAGGGTCTACAGGGGTTCAAGGAGAAGATATCTGTTGCTTGTGCCGAGAGAGAAGAACAGAACCTAAGGAAAGAAACCAAGGATAAGGAGGGTCTAGAAGTGTACAGAATGTTGAAGGAACGAATAGGGTTCAAGGATTACCTACATGGACCAATGGATGCAGGAACAAAGCTTAAGGTCAAATTCAGGACCGGG